AAGAGCATCAAAGACTTGAGAGGTAGTTGGCCATGCGCTCATTTCCCACTACAAACTATAAAGCATTATTTGCAGTTAGACTTAGCCAAATTACACAAGTTTCGAAGATACTTTGTTTGATAATTATATTTTTATGTCGACCCAGTATGCAAATTCGATTGCTCAAACAAAATCTGTCTAATATTGCAAAGATGACAAGTGCATGGAATTAAAAATAAAGTCCAAAAATAAAATATCATGCATATTGTTCTATGCTCACCCAATGTGAAACAAAACTATGCTATAATGATTGATTGCTGTCAAATTGTTTAAAAAAATGAAATTTCGTAATTTTTCGATCAAATACCGTCACAAAACAGAAATCCTGCAATTTCCCACCAGTAATCTAACATGGATCAATTATTTGAAAATTTTAGGAAATTCATTTTCTTACATAAGCTATTCCCTAATGAATAAATATTCTGAGAGTCCATGTCATAATGATATAAAGGTTGCTTTCCTTCAAAGAAGCTTCAATATATAGCTCTAAAATTTGGAATTGCTATATTGATGTCCATCAATCACTGCACAATAGACAATATCAAGCACTCTTTTTCCAACTTTGAACAACGAACAAGCAAATTTACGAAAGAAAAACAAGCATGCAACATCAATAACTACACAATTCAGACAAGGAATGTTGAAAGAGAACATCGCAGACAGATTCTACACTAATCATTGAGAAGGAAATTCATCGGCAGCGTCTTTTTGCTTCAGTTTTTTTTCACAGAGTGAGCACCTAAATATTTATTCTGTTCACTTTCCTCACTCACCCAAGTTTTGTAAAAGGACCCCTGTTGAACTCACTACCGAGTAATGCATGGGCCGATTCGTCGTCGGAAAAATCAGCATTCTGCTGTCGCTGTTGGTGTTGATACATTGCTGCCTGTGATTGAGGATGACAACAACATCGATACACAAAAAAACATGTAAATGGTGGCTAACAGATGCATCACATACAACATCACACCACACAAAAGTCCAAATTTAATTCTCAAAATTTGGATAGATCCATACATTCTGACATTCGTAATGTTCGGATAATATAGTTTGAAATTGATTGAATAATTTAAATATGCAAGATGATTACTTGCATACACTTGCTTACTTTTACGAAAAAAGTTATTGTAAAAGCTATTGAGAAAATTCATAACATATCTCACAGTAAACCGCAAGCAAACTCTCAAACAAGTACTAATCAATCACATTTTTATAAGAAAAAAATTAATAGTTATGGGCAAAGAGATAATAAAACAGACAAACATTACAGCATATTCCAGCTACATATGTTTTTTTAAACTAGAAATTATGAATCAAATAAAAACTCATTCATTAAGAATAGAGAACTGCAAAACCAACTCGTATTGACTTCAGCCATATTTATTAAAGAATAAGTACCCTGAACAATTTTCTTCATACAAGTAAATATACTTTCTTTTTGGGTACAATATTAAATATCCCATAACACCAGCATCAAAGATTTTAAAAGTTGAAGATTTTTTTAAATTTCTGGGCCTAAAATTGTTTCAAAGCTCATGATATGAACGAAGAAAACCGAGAATGTTGATAGATGGCATGCAGCAAAGCAACATGAGAGTACATGCAGTGATTTAATGGTCACACATTAAGATGATTACAGCATGCATGTCAAATCAAACTCCAGAATAACCAGTCATAAACTGTTCTCGTGGACCATGGACAGCGTACTCCATCCATGGCCCAAACTTGACTATGTACTATAAACAAACATTTTATGATTGGAAACAGTTAAAGATGATGAAGATGATGCAAATCATATCAGATCAGGCATGATTAATTATCCCAAATTAGAATATTCAAAGCAGAAAATATAAGATCAATCTCTCACTAAATTTTAGCAGAATCAGATAGATACTCAAGCACATTTGTGTGTGATAGTGAAATCAAATTTGAACAAGTTGATGACAATGATTAACAAACATTGTTGGACAAAAATGAATTAAGAATCTGAACGGTGCAGCACATTTCACATCACAAAGAGAATAAGATGCACAATTTTAACATTGATCATAACTTATATTATTTCACATACACACAAGAAGTAATGAATAACATGTTGACTAACGGAAAACTGCATTTCCTGTTTATAATGTAATTTCAACAAGCGAAGTCTGTCAAAATTTCACAAGGCAACTATATTATGAATGTAACAGTGAACTATGTCTGTATTATTGTTTAGATCTATTTCAGTTGAAACTAGGAATTCTAAAGGACTAAATATTGAACGCATTGAGATTACAAAACTAATTCAATATAATTTGACAATATGATCTTGCTAGTTTAAAAAATGACAATCCGCTGGCAGGAGCCAAGCACCAATAAGTTTTTGTCATAAATTGTAAAATTTTATTGAAAGTACTGTGCTGAAACTTTTGATAATCTAATAGACATAATCATAAAATATTTTTTCTGATCAAATGAGCAACTCTTGAAATTGTACTTGTTAAATAAACAAAAAACATTTCACTCCAACCTTCTAAATATTATAAACACAATTTTGCAAACAGCTAAAACTAGCCTAAGACCGACTCACTCAGATATTCTTCATTTAAAAATATTATTAAAATAAAGTATGCTAAAAACAATCTATGACCAAGATTACATATCACCAAGTTTCAGTGCAAGGGCCAGCCAATAAAATTTTTTTAGTTGTATAGCAGTTTAAAAATATGCCAACAATTTATGTATTAAAAAAGGGTTTTAGCAGTAACTATGAATTTACGTAACCAAATGATTGAATATGATAAATTTTATATCACAAAATTTATAAAAAAAAAAATATTTTTAGGAAATTGTTAATCAAATCAACTTTTTAAAATCAAATTGACTGTTAGACAATTTTGAACAGTAGCTTATTAGTCCGAATTTCGGTATTTGTAAATAAAATCACATGTCCAGTGCAAATTCACACATCACAACACACTCAATTCACATGCCTGTATTCGCCCATCATTTAAACATTCCTATTATTAAATTTCATACCTCTTCAAAAAAGTTTTGTGTTTTACGAAGAATGTGTTTAAGCTCTGTTAGTTCAAGGAAATTACGCTTGAGTGCCTCCTGATTTGTGTTTACTTCTTTCATGTCATTTTCCAGCTTTTCAAATGTTGACTAAACAGAAAAGTGCAGAATTTTTAAATTGAATTCGTTAGAAAATGAAGTACTTCTATGCGGTTAGTACAAAGATATTCTAATTTTGGAAGAATTTTGAATTCGATTTAAAAAGAGCAAAATTAGCTCAAAACTGTAGAAATAATATATAAATATGATAGCGTTTGTTATGTAAATTTAAAGAAATTTTTTTTTCATGGAAGTCGCAAACAATGACATCGACAATTAGCTGCATTTTTACATATTTCGCAAACATATTCAAACAACTATTTAAAAGCTTGATGAGGTGACGATGTTTTTTTACTGTGCATGTTTATAATATTTATTTGAGTTCTTGACTTTAAAATAATAAACAAACAGAATTGCTTCGGTATTGATTATCTACCTTATAAATTGCAGCTGTATAAAAATAGATAAAATAGAAGAACAAGTAAATTAACAAGATACATACTTCTAAATCAATCATTTCTCTGGGAAGAGGAGCATCAGGATTTTCTCCAGTATCCTCAATAATGATGTTGTCCTTGTTCAACTCTCTATCAAGAAATCCTGAAATATTTCATATTATAATTTTCGATTCACAGATCAGCATGGCTCTACTCATTTTAATATATATCTTCAGAGCTTCTGTTTTCAGATTTTGCCACTCCATTTTTCACTTTGATATAAGAAATTTTTCACCAAGAATTTTACTTACTGAGTTTTCTCTCCATTTCGTCACATCTTCTAACTTCATTGACGAATTTTCGTTGAAATGCATTTACATCAGGATTAAGCTGACAAGGCAAAGAAAATCTTTAAATATCAAGTTATATAATGTATAGGTAAATAATAGGAAATATAAATATCATATAGTTATATAATAATAATAAATATAAACAAGGCAGTGAGAACAATATTTTACCACTAACAGACTAAAGATATATGATTAAAAAAACTTTGTGGAGGAAATTCGCAAAGTCGAATTTTTTATTCATCTAATCTGTTCACATCCAGATATATCTCAAAACAGTCAAAATAAACTCCCTAATGTCAGAATGTTACCATAGAAAAATGAAACTCCATCTGTTTCTTAGATTAATATACAGAATCTGTCTGTCATTTCAAAGTTCATTAACATAAGATAAACAACTTACGTCTCTGAATTGCACAAGCCCAAGTTCTCCTAACTCACTGACACATGCATAAGCAGCTTCAGTTTGTAGATAAAGTTGCGCGAGACACATTTCCTCGCTTCGAAATAACGACCCCATTCAGATATTTGTGTATTTAGATTTCCCAGTCGCTTTATGTTATATAGTTCACATAGAATATACCAATAATACAATGTCTGAATACCAGCCACAATACAGTTACAATATTCACTAGAAACACAGCTTGGAAATAACGCCGAACAGAATAACCATCAGCCGATGAAACTATGAAGAACGGCCAAGACCAGCGGGATACGTGATCGATACTGACGTCACTACGAAACAAATAGGAAATAGTCATGTGAATTTAAACTACAATCAGCCTCGCTTAAAAATTTCAAATACATGTGACGCATAGTCGTATACGTAAGGAAAATCACCTGAAAACGAAAAACGAGTCCCTATTAAATCAAAAACATCCCCAATCGAACACCAATTCTTGCTGAGATACAGTTTTTTATCTGTATTTCATAAAGTGTTTCATTCGTTTTTGTTGTACAATATTTTTTGTATCTGAACTTATTCAAAGTTTTGTGTGCTTTGCAACATTGACTAACTTATTCTGAATATTTGAAAGATCAGTTATTAATTTTGCATACATAAACTTACATAACACAGGAAGTGACAAATGATCAAGTGGTTACGAAGAGACGAGCAATCCATAACTATCCCCAACAGGATTCGAACCCTCTTAGTAATTTGGTCGTAATGATAATTCGCTCCGCATTATATGGTTATTTCTATTTTAACAACGGTCTTGTTTGACACATTTGCAGATCAAATACACGGAATTCAACGTTACAGATCTTCGAAGTTTTGGATATTTTATCGAATATACGACACGGGTCAATGACTAGAGTTTCTACGACCACCGGTTACCATGGTGATGACCCGCAAGCTTCTCTGTGTAAATTTAATGCAGAATGGTTCAAACAATGAATTTATTTCTTGTTCTATGTTAAAATGGGGAAATGATATGCTGGAGATTACTTTATATTCATAATACAATAATGAATATTGATACTACGGGCCTATAAAGTGACTATGATAATATTGATACTATGGGTCAGTCAGTTTATTAGGTACTGTATGTACTTTTCGTAAGGTTACCCCTTACTGACTTAGGGTTTTCTATAATTATTTGGTAATAAATTTGAAATTAACCTAGTAAACTTTTTTCATCGCAACGCTTTAGAAATTTCTATGAACATGCAATGTACAGTGGGAAATAATGGTATAATTGAAAAAATTATTATATGAAATATAGTCTGAAGGATTTTTTCAATTGTGAAGAACCTGTATATTCTGATATTGGTTTGATGGCATGGTTGAATCAGAAAATCTCGCATCACATATATAAGATATCAAATGCAACGACCCTATTGTTTAATGTATATTAGGAAATAATCACTGCAGGCGTATCATTATTCTGACACACATACCAGCAGTCAAAATAAATGGATAAATGCACCTCAACAACAATTAGGTACTTTATTTTTTGAACAAAAGGATATAACTTATCTAAAACTTGCTCAAATGTGTATTGCTGTAAATAAAATAATTGTACAATAATCTTAAGGGATTAAAATGGTGACCAGGGTCATAGCATACAGTTTACATTCACTGATCTAAAGTATTTTTCTGAGCTCATCCTTATATGATAAATCATTCCTCATCTACCCTTCAATATGATAACCATGCAAAGAAGCCCACTAGTCTCACCTGTCTGTATAAGTGATCATACTACTTGTATTTATCCAAAAGGATGTATACTACACATTCATATTTTAGTCCAGTATGGTCTTGTGCATGTATCCTGTTTTCAGCATTGGTAATTTTGCAACTTTGCCTATATATCTTGACATTACAGAATGATGGAATGAGTACCCATATACATACAAGTAATCAAAAGTTTATAGACTTTTCTGCAAAATGACGCTTTAAAACAAGTACTGGGTATAGGAGGAAGCTTTTTTTGTCTTCAGTATCGGTTGGGTTATATTTGTACTGACCAAGTCTACAGGATAACCCAAAAGAAACATGCTATTGAGATATACTGACAGCAGAAATAGCGGCTCAGCAGGACCAAGTGTTTGACTATTTTGCGCAGCGGATGCTCATGTCTCTAATGTCAAGGAGGTAATTTGGAACATATTCTATAGCAGGGGCGTCCTATTGGCCCGCGGGCAACATGTGGCCCACTGAAGGTTTCCGAGTGGCCCGCGCGGTATTATTCGAATCCCAATGTCTTTCACAAACCTGAGCCATTATTGAAACTGCTAATAAAAAAAATTGTCGTTCAAACGCGTGAGAAGCACCACCTAGCTGTGGAAAGCTTCTTTTATGTCCATTTGTGGTCGTTATTGCTAGTGAGACATGTTTGAATCTATTTTTATCGTCCGCCATGTATTTCAATCAGTTTTTCTGTCTTTTTTCTGTGAAGCTAGAAGAGGCAGTTTTATGACCTCAATATTTGACAGCATTTACTTCTACAAGCAAGTTTTTTCACGGATGAACCATGTAAAATCCTCTATGAGACACTAATTTCTGACAGCCACATGAAAAATTCGCATTGCTACATCGTGCCATACTTCCCATTGAAATATCTATGTGTGGGTAAAACTTTTGACTTTACTATATCTTCGTATTTTAATTGTTCTTATAAATTAGGTAGTTTATTTGTTTTTCCATTGATCTGTAGTCGGTGTAGTGAAAACTAGAACATAACTACCATGTCAAGTGACCTGCGCAATCATTCGTAGACTTAAGGTGACCCTTCGTCCAAAAATGTTGGACAACTCTGTTCTGTATAGAAAATAACTTTATGTACAAAGTGTCCTAGATTTATGAAGCTTTGGGTATAATCATACACAAACAGAAGTTCGAGCACAAACAAAATTAATCTTTTTCGTAGAAGTCATTAGGAAATTCATGAATTATGTTTTTTAGGATCACCCTTACGTGGCTTTGCAAGTTCTTATACCCACCTTACTCAGTGTATGGGGAGGGTCGGCTTAGTTTAATGATGCTTTGTTTAATTGGTGTGACAGTAGTAGCGGCTTAGACAAGAAAGGCTAAAACAAACTACTGAAAGTTGCTATTAATGTTATCGAGACATCCGGCGATATAATCATAATGGTCCCAGTAGATCCAAATAAATTTTTTTTTTATTTATTTATGACCTTAATTAGAATTGATTAATTAAAATGACTGCTACACAGTCCTCAGACACATTGACTCAAGATGGAGAAACAGAAAATCCGTTTAGGACAAAATCAGAATCAAAACCCAATGCTATGTTACCTTCTGTTGGATCAACAAGCAGCAGTATCCATGGCAGTAAAGTCCCTGTATTTACAGGCGAAAGACTTGAAATCCGACTCCATGAAAAAGATCTGAAAATTTTAATGTCTGGTTTTCATCCTGATGGCGTCGTTAAAACTGAAGTATTGGAGAAAAATGAATCACTGAAACTTGATCGTGATGAGTTCAGCACAAAACTTTCTACTTTGGTAAATAAAGGCACAAAGGAAGAATATGCAGAACTTTTTGATAGAATCGACATCACAAAATCAGGAAGAGTGACTTGGGATGCATTCGTACAATTTATGTTATATGAATTTCTTGAGAAAGATGAAAAAGTCAAAACAACGCAGGTTCCTCAATGGAAAGAACTCAGAATTATTCAAACGCCACACAAAGATACAATTGAAAGAATTCAACACATGCGTTCTTCGAATCGTTACTTATCTATGAGTCGTGAAGGCTGCATTTCATTTTGGGATCATCATCTGAAATTGCAAAAGAGTTTGAAACTTGCTACAGAATCCGTGAAACCACGTGATCTATGGGTTACTGATTTTGTTCTGCTACCAAATTTGAATAAAATTGCAGTTTCATTTACGAGCAAAGAAATTGCATTTTATGACTTAGGCTCAAAAGTTGAATTCAACTGCCAGTATAAATTGAAGGGATTGCACAGTACACCCTTATGTATGGATTTTTATGGTAATCCTGAAGATCCAAATGAAGCTATTTTGGTTTATGGAGATGTGGGTGGACAAGTTTCTGCTTTATGTTTTTCCTCAGCCCAAATTGCCCTTTTTGACAGACCACAGAGAGAGGCTTCTGACAACAAACAGCAAAACAATGCTACAGTTTATGTGAGACTAAAAGAATTGGTTAGAGATACATCTAAGCATAAAAACTGTAGATTCGTTCATCACATTGGACATAAAGGTTGGGTAAGGCAAGTGAAATATGCAGAACACCTGGAGTGCTTTATAAGTTGTTCTACTGGAAGAGAAAAAACAATCATTCTTGGTTTTATTGAAAAAGCAAGCACAACAATGCGTACCACATCTTTTCGGTTTCATCATGGTGTGCATTGCTTTGATTATCACCAGCAAATGAATCTTATTGCGACAGGTAGTGTGAATAATCATGTCTGCTTATGGAATCCTTATGTTATATCAAAACCAGTTGGAATTTTAACTGGTCATATGGCAGCTGTTGTACGAGTTACTATAAATTTTAACAGACAACAATTGATGAGTTTCTCAGTCGACAAGGTGCTTCGTGTTTGGGATATTCAACAACAAGTTTGCTTGCAACGTTTGGCTGGAATTTTCCCAAAAGGTCCAGAAGTTCAAACGATATTATATTTTGATGATATTAAGAATCGGTTGTTCGTTACATTCAATTATCAACTGACAATGCTTGAAATGAAAATTGAAATCCGAGATAGAGTGATGACTCATGAACGTCCAGTCACAGCTGCTATTTATAACAATTTGTATAATCAGGTTGTGACCACTTGTCAAGATGGCACTGTAAATATGTGGATGATTGATAATGGACAAAAAGTCAAACAATTTACCAATTGCCATGGCAACCATGAAATTACAGCACTTGCTTTTGATGACAATGAAACACGGTTTCTGACCGCAAGTACAGATGGCACAGTGAAAATTTGGGATTTTAATGGTCATTGTCATCATCTTCTAATGGCAGGTCGTGATAATCCAGCAGATATAGCACAGGTTGTTGTGATGAAAAGATCAATATTGGCGATAGGGTGGGATAGGTACATTACTGCTTTTCGATCTATGAACATGACACAATATCATTTGCAGTCGGTCGACTGGAAAGGAGGCCAAGAGCATCAGGACGATATTCTTTCAGCAGCGTATTCTTCACCCACTACTCTTGCGACGGGAAGCTATGATGGTGAAATTATAATTTGGAATACTCAATCCGAGCATGTATCAAGAAAACTACAAGCTAGATGTCGTCAAAGATGGGCAAAACGTCCTGTGACCGGTGCAGAAATAGAAGCAATTTCTCGTCCAACAACATCTGAGAGTCAAACAAGTGAATTGGAGTTTAGTTTTGTCATATCTTCTCTTGTCTTCTTGAAAACAAGGATGAATGGAGGGAACCCTACTGGTACTTGTGCCGACCTCGTTTCATGTGGTGGAGGAGGCTGGGTTCGATTTTGGAATGTTAATCAAACAAATTTAATGTCTGAGTTTGTTGCTCATTCTCATGCAGGCAACGCGATATGTGCCACAGATTCAGAAGATCATTATCTCATAACTGGTGATAGCGATGGGGCTATTAAAGTCTGGTTTATCAAAAATTATTTGATGAATGATTCTGGGCACTTGGTGAGTGATCCTCCACCTGTACATGCATCTTGGCAACCGCATGCAGATGCTATAAATTGTATAAACACCTGTAAAAGAAATGATCGATTGTTAGTGATTACCGCATCATCAGACTGCAGTGTATCACTCAGTGATATACATGGAAATCACATAGGTGAATTTGGGCAAGATCAACACTGGAGAATCGATGTAATTCCACAAGAAAAATCTGAGGATGAGGAAGAGAATGTCGATTCTGATTTGGCAACAGATAAGGAAGAACAAGTTGGGGAAAATGATGTAACCAATGAACAACCTGAATTCATAATGAGTTTAGAGTCAAAAGATGATTTCATTTACGATCCAGAATTTCGTGCAAGCACTTGGGATTCTACCGTCCTTGGCAAAGCATATCAGGAAAGTAGACTGAACAAACGTGAAAGAAAGCAGCCAAGCACAATTAACGGTTACAAAGAACATATTGAAGAATCTGCAGTTGGCCCCTATGGCATTCTTGATTATAATGACCTAGCACCGATGCCAAGTATGAAAAAGCCAGATTTTATGCTCACCCACATAAATATTTTGGCGAAAAGCAAGTTAAAGGCTTCTGGCAAGAAGGAGGAATTTGAAGAAGCTCCTGTTATAAAGGAAGCAAGAGGTATGCTAAAAGCTGCTTTTGATGAAAGAACTCTTTTTCCTAAAGAGCTTTTAGACTTTGAGGCACAGGTGAGAAATGAGCATGCTCAGAAACTGAGAAGTAGTATGGCGATCAAGAAGAAACCTGTAAGCATTTTGAAGTCATTTGTGTCTAGCAACCTTATGACAGGTTCTACAAATAGTCTTGGTGGCTCAAAAATGGGGAGCAGAATCGGTTCATCAATTCAAGATAAAAGAAATGTAGCAAAGCGTATACCTAGCACAAGCACACTTAATATGGGAGTAGATCCTGGAAAAATGTCCGGAGCATCATTTTCTAAAGTTTCCTAATTCTAATTTGTTACTGTTTGTTATAAATACCTACAACTGGCTTATCATGTTCCCACTGTTTTTGAGTATGTTTTACTGAATTTTATATCTAAATCATTGCACTGTTTTCCAAATTACTGACATATTTTAATAAATGAGATGTTTTTTTACATTTATTCAATCAAAGTTTGATGGTAACTACAGTTTCCTCATTTTATATTATTATTTTGTGCTTCACTTGACAGAGGTCACATACTAAATAGATTTTACTTCTTTCTTTGTTGTTTCAAGGTAAATATTTTTTTATGTTATGTCACAATAGAACAAAACTGGTTTTGGATATATTCAAGGAAATGTTTCACGGCAATGCTTAATGTTATAATTTTATGACAAATTCTTGTATATTATTATACCATTAAAACTGAAATTTAAAAACTACAGTATTTTGGTGAATAAATCAAATATTGCCACGGAAACCCTTCGTTGAAATTGATTTTAATTTGTTGCTATGTCAGGATATTTTACTATTATAAGTCTCATCCTGATGGTTGAGTTCAAATACTGAATATAAAAGCCAAACGTTCCCATATCATCAAATATATTAAACATGCACCTTTCATAGTAAGCAGCAATGATAATTAACTAACACAAGCATAAATGAGAGATATATGATCTGTACAACAAGAAAAAATAAAAATGTACCATCTACAGTGAGTGATTCATGCCCAAGAATAAGTTTTGCAATACTCGGATGTATGTTCGATAGCAGTAATAGTAAATGCAGCAACGTTGTATATGATTTCGATAATAAATGAAACTTAATCAGATGTATAGGGCATAAGAGCTAAAAACTAATATCAGATAAAAGATTGCCAGGTACTCCACCACGCTTAGGATTTCTAAGAAGAGCATCTTATAAAGAGCCATTTTTCCATTCAAGCTGTACAAATAACTTGCAAGACATTGGAATTCTTCTTCTGTAGTCTCTGTATAATTAAAAATAATCGATTAGTTAGGGTAGAATTCTATATTTATGACAGGGGAGGGGAAAGCCATTAAGACCTCTTGTCCGGTTGCCATTCATGTCGGCGAGGAGTCTAGCAATTGTTCCACACATGATAATCCCCCGAAAAATTCAAACTTACGCAGAGTAATCAGAGGTGTGATGACAAGTGTGTTCCCAAGGCAATATGTGATGCACCAACCGCCGAGCCAGTTAGTCTCAGTTATTAAAGTCGCGGTGAAATTGGTAAAAACTAGGCAATATTGACACACAAGATATGCTCCCAGGAATAAGTGAAAAAAGTAGTAGACAACCAAAAAAGTTGCCAGTGTACACGGCAGCATGTTTTATCTTGGTATAAATCATAAAATCTCTGAATTGAATATTACCATTAAACTTTGCATCACTGAATTGAATGCTTGAAACAATTCTGATCTATCCATATCGTCGTTGAGTATAACCATCGGTCGACTGCTCTTAGTTGGGCAATAATCAGAAAACGAAAGATGAACTCTCAAACTATCCAAATTTTGTTCAGAAGATAGTCGCAGAAGACAAGCGAGTGCTCTTGTTCTTATCGGTGTGTGTGTAAGCATCAATGATCTTAAAGCTGTACAAAAAAAATTTGCTCCCAGTCGATTATAAAAATATATATTTCAACTCCACAACAACAACAACAACAAAGTAGGTAATTCTTTTTTTAAATGATTACTGTTCTCAGAAACCAATTAAAAGTATCATATATAGAATAGTATCTTCAAGTCATCTGAAAGCAAAATTTAATATTAGCTTTCGAGTGTAAATTCCATATGTTTTTTTGTTTTCCAAAATTACTTTTGGAGCAAGGTCATTCTTAAACATTGAGAGGTCAAAAAAATTTCACGACATGACACATTTCCTCAAACTTGCCATGCACTTGCTAGCTAGCACAACTAATAACATTACAACATTTTTCCTATATTTCAATATGAACTTAATCTATACTTGACGTTCCACACTGTCACTTTGCATCATATTCATAAACTCACATCCAAATCCATGCTTAACTAACTCCTTGGCAAGATCTTCTGATATTTCATCCATGTACATCAGTTCTAAAACTTGAAGATTTTGGCAACTTGTGGCTGAATTAAAAATAGTGTAAATACTTTGGTAATATTATTGTACTATCTCCGGCACATCCGGCATAAGATTAGACAGCACCATAGATAGCACAATTTGTTGCTGTTTTCATATTAGGATTTTGAAATCGAAAGTCAATTTCAACACTTTTTTTAGATCCACATCTCTTAGAACATTGCAACAGTGTAAAATTAGACAACTTAAACTTATTTGTCCACGTTACCTATTGATAACAATCCTTTTTTGTCAATACATCTTCCACCAATGCTTAATCCACGCAAGGTTGGCCAACACCATGATATCATTTGTAAAACCTTGTTGTTGAAGATTTGCGGACTTTTACTAAAGTAAAGAGTTTTATTAACAATGCATGATATTGTAATATTCCTTAGTACAATGCTGTTAGAACTTATGCTGAATTTTAAAAATAAAAATACCATGATTTCAATGGAGCAACATCCAGAGATAGCAGTTTCCTACAGCCAGCTCCCAATGACCATGTGACTTCCTGATTGAGTGGTTCACAACTTCTGAACGTGATACTTCTCAACTCTCTACAAAAATATTGAATACCATATTTTACAGACCATAAGGCGTACTTCAAATTATTTTTTTCTTAAAAGCTTCGTACAGTGACCCTATACTCCTTAAAAACTAAACTATTGCGTCATATAACTGGTGCACCATATGGGTGGACAAAACCCCCATTCAAGCAATATATTGATGATGTGCCTTATGGTCCATAAAATACAGTAATATTTATTCATTTATTAATTTTTACTTGATAACTATATGGTCACGGTCGTCATCCAATCAACAACGAAAAAACTGCAACTATAATTTTTTTGACTTGAGTGTTATGGTAATCCATTCTACACACATTATAAACTGTCAAACTATGAAGCAAAAAAAAATTCAACAGCAGAACCTAGCATTGCCAACAGTCAATTTGAACTTTATATACCAACTAGTGAAGACTGAAAGTAACTATTAAGGTATATCAACACAATATGGCACACTATTCTATATTGTAAATTACTGTATAGTAAAAGGATAAGCTCACCTGTTATAACAGCTTGCCATCCACAAGACACGTCTTGTCAAGAATGGGTCACATTTGCTGATAGACAAAACCAACAAATTATTACCACAAGCTTGCAGAAGACATTCCATGCCATCTTCTAAGCTCCCTACAGAGAAAATTTAGGTCAAATTTATAAATGTGTAATATGAATTGTTTTTGTTAAAGTTTGCATTATGTATATACAAACAACACCATTTTAGCATGTAAAGTAATATACTTTGAAATGAAAGTCATGTCGCATTAATAAAGTGAATAAACAACAGGCTCCTACAAGATTCAATTTTTTGTTTAATCAAAAATTCAATTTTCAAAACAATACTTGGTGCCATCTCAGGGACATGAACTGAATTCCATGTCCCATGAGATTAAACACATATCACAATTGGTACCATTTTGTTGTGCGATTGTGATCAATATAAGCAAGTGAGACCACATACAAAGTTGTTTTTTGACGCTAAGATGGCATACAAAAGTGGCATCGAATATTCTATATGCTCCTCTATTTTGGTATATTGTGAAATTTTTGCATATTTAGCAGTAGTATAAAGAAACACTCATTCGTGTCAATACCTGCAGTTGCAACCTTGTAATCCTTTGAAGTTTCTCCAAGATACCGTTTCCTCCCTTCGATATTACTTAAACTTATATAACATGTTTCTTTACACCAAGCTGACAATGTAGATAGAAACTGAAATAAATCACATAGGTTTCAATTATAGGTGTAAAAATACAAATATCTTTCGAGAATATTTAAACACAACTGCTCAAGAATGATATCAATTTGTCTAATAAAATATTTTGAAGGGCCAACATCAAGTCCATGCATCTGAATCAAATAGCTGATTAACTATGCCCATAGCAGACAAGAACTGGTAACCGGACGCAAGCCCATGGTTCACCATGTGATTAGGCCGTGTTTTCGGTTTCATCTCCTCAAGATGAATACAAAAATAAATTAAAAATTGAATTTTTATTACTATTATTGATTATCATTCATGTCAGCAGCCCGTACTAAACACATTATTATTGGGTGAACTGAACTTGAGATATCAGTTTCTTCACCTGTGAGGATATTTGTTTTGCATCCAAGCTAACCCTCGTCCAAAGTTTGGGATGTTTGCTGACATCTCTCCATTCCCGACAAACAATGGAACATCGTAATAATGACTCAGTGTCAAGATATGCAAATACACAAAAAAGAACAATGCGGCGACGAATGGCATCATCGCTGTCAAAATGTTGAATTGTAGAAGTTGGAGAGTGACCAATTGCTGTCGATCTTTCAGAGCTTGAAGTCTGCAATGATTAAATATATTAAGGTTGACGCAATACCATGACCAAAACCTTAGGCACGCATATTATTTACAACATGATCACACTCATATTACTAGAATAAAATTGTTATCATAAGAAATATTTTTTTCATTTTCGTAGGAGTAAATAAGAAATTTATGGGATCTTTTGTATGGGTCACCTTGTATCCAATACATCTCACCTGGTATGGGGTATGTGTGTTAGCAAATGGCCATATAGTTGATTTCTCAATCACATTTGCGAGATCTATGCCTGGAAGTTGATCAACAGTGTTATCTTTTCTTTTATTCCATCTTCTAGGAAGCTCTTGACTACTTGGAGGTTCCAAAAATTGTGCCACATAATTATCATTTGAATTTGCCTGTAGTCGACTCACTCTGTGAGATAAACCAATATAAGGCTAGGGTTATCAAAGTATTGTACAAAAAAATCTGTCATCCTGCCTTTGATAGTTGACATAGAGAATCTGATAAAAATTTGCCATTTTACTCAATATAGGCACAAATGTTATCTACTTTTGACCCTCCAAAATGTTTCAGCAACAGAAATATATTGACCCGTTAAAGGGCTTAACCATATTCAATTCAATAGAAGTTTTTGTATGTATCAAGTTTGTCTACTTTATGCTTCAAGGAATAAATAAATAACCCTGATATATTGTACGAGTTGCAAAAGTGTTAATTTCGAATATTTAATGTTAAACTTTCAAATAATTATACTATTCAAGCTGAATTCCATGCATAATTGAAAATCATATATGTAAACTTATAAAAACATTGCCGATTTGATAATTTTAGTATTGTATTACCCAGTACATGCAAGACTCATATTTTCCATTAAAAATAGGCCATATAATGAACCTTCCTACCTTCGGGCAGGTTGTTGTGGTGTAGTAGGTGCAGATGAGGAATAAGGTCTTGGTTGCGGTGGTTTCTGTAGTAGTTATGAACACTTACAAATTACCACCGGTACTTACAGTTAATAATTGCAGTAAAATTTCATAAGATTTCAGTTATATTTACCAAGTATGTATTAACATTCGTGGATGCGGGTGATGAAGAATCAAGTCTCGACTGTCTGTTAAAATAAAAATTGGTAGATAAAAGCATCATAGACCCTAGAGCAGTAGTTTTCAAGCGATGGGGTGTGCCCCACAGAGGGGCGTAGACAGTTTTTGAAGGGGCGTGAAGCTACTTAAAAATTAAAATATTTGTTGGATTTGGTCTTGCCCTTCTTATTCAGGATATTTACATTTCTTTATTTTTGGATATCTACGTTCCATCCAGGTATTTTCAACGTGTTTCTTGAATAAAACTTTACTTTTCATCCTTTTTTTACTATCTGTTATTTGTAGCTTATTGTTAGCTAGTTGTTTTTGAGGTGGGACGTGAGACTTGACAAATTCTAAAAAGGAGGTGCGGGTTGAAAGTTTGACAAACACTGCCCTAGAGGTTTAAACTATGGGATGCTAAAGTTGATGAGTGCAATACCTGGGTCGTTGTGTAGAGTTCTTCAATTGATTTTTGTAAACCTGAAAATGTAATGTTTATATAGAAGAGGCATATATAAGAAAAAAGCGATTTCACTGGAAGAAGACTACTCATATGAATTCATACCTTCAGTTTCTCTTCAGCTGTTTCTGCTCGTTCTAATAATCCGGTAATGAAATCTTCGAGCCTTTGTTTTGCAACAGCTTCTTGCTGTGCCGCTTGATGCAAATAGTTACGCATTTCATTTTCAGATCTGAAAACCAATAATGCGTAATGATGTATTTGATTACTTCTAGTGTGCTTTTATTAATTAGTGAATGATATACAAGAAATTTTCACCTTGAAACTTCATGAAGTTTTCTTTCCAAGTTTACTGCCTGTTCTTTATATTTAGCTGCAAGATGGATGCTCAAGTCAAGTTTCCTTCGTGTTTCTGTCTCTTGAATTGCAGATGAATTATTGATAGATGTCTGGATCTGAATAACAAATTATTGTGCAACATAAAAATTTACTATTGCATCTGGAATATGTGACACAGCTGCCATGGCATATACGGTAATTGGAAAGGTTGTATATATAGCAGTGTTGCATAGGCTCGGGGCATCGACTCAACTTGAAATTGTGTTACCATTTGTCAAAGACATGAAGTGAATCCAGAGTAAAGTAAATACGAAGACTCCGATTTGACTCGCGACTAACAAACAGTTCATGAATAACACTATATTGTATGATTGTGTAGCAACTACATAAGGATAGTTACTGTGTATTTTAATATTTTCACCACTTATTGTTAGTAGTGCATGTTATTTGCCTGAAACAAGGTCGTTGTCCCAATTCATTTCCTTTATGATATATTTCTCTCACTCAGTGTAGCTTGTCTTTGCCGTTCTTTGTTAGTTAGAAATTTGGTTTCATCACATATACTTGCTTTAAGGTTTCAAGTGTAATTCTTTATTTGGATCAATTCGATTGTGCAACTTACAATATAACAATTGGCATTCAATACATTGTGTGCTTTTTGACCTCTGAAGGAGTCAAGATCGGAGTTACACTCTGTTAACGTGTGTTCAATAACACGGGAGTGTGGACACGCAGATAGGGTCGAATCTTTGTTGCCCTATATTTTGGTGACACTTTATACCCAACACTGATGTATAAAAAAAATGTATTCTATTTTAACCATAAAAGTATATATATATATATATATAAATAGTGACTAAATTTTTTTTATATTGATAAATATTTGCACCTGTATAGTAGCCCAATCACAGACATTTTCAGGCACAGATTTAAACCGACTCATTGGGAAAGTCTTCAATCAGTTGCCTTCTCATCATGTTATAAAATATAATCATCGGTTTAAAATTTTGACGTATGTATATTAATAAGTCATTGTCAGCCCTTATAATAGAAACTATATGAAACTTACATGTTTCGATTCCTTTTCTGTGAATTTGTCTTTTTTCTGCTCATTGTCAGAATCTGACCTGGTAATATAATAATTTAGATTCAAATTTTCATGATGTTCTGTATAACTCCCCCAGATGATAAAGCAACCGAAAACATAAGGGAAACGAAAATTGTTATTCATGACATTTTGTTTCTCAATTGATTATCAAAACATTATATTTTAATGACTCGCAACCAGGTGGTTTAATGACATTCTTCTAGATGCGCGAGAAACTCGGCAGGCTGCGGATAAAACGCTTGTTTGCTTTGAAAGTTTGCAATCACAGGAATCGCTTATATTGTATTCATATGAAGTTGATCTATGAAATAGCTTTTTCGCCCTCACAGTACCTTAAAACTTCATATTGTTCTTCCTTATGAACTGGATTTCGAATTCTTTTGAATTCATTCCATTTGCTTGAGTTCGCTCGCAATCTTTCTTTCTGTTTCCGAATCAGTCTCAATTTTCCTGATAGTCGCAACTCTTCTTCAATTTCAGAAAAATTTCTGTAAAGTTTATAGATAATAAAATATGATCCTTTGCCCAGCAGAATAAATAGCGCAATTGCAATATGTATAACATAAACACGCTAAATAGTTAGTGTACGCAAAACTTGCTTTACAAAATTGCATTATTATCTGCACTGCTAACTATAAGCGAGTTTTTTCTGACTTTACGAGTATAAAAGTTAGAATTCATACCTGTCATATTTCTGCAACAGCATTTCTGCTTTCTTATTGTACTTCTCGAATATTTTGTCTATCGAGCTTGGAATGTCATTAAGAACATTCGACTCCATCTGTAAGTGCAACACACAACAGGTTGTGTAAAACGTCATGAATATTGTATTAACCTTCTCTCGGGCATTTTGATTGGTCGAACTAGGCACAAGGAAAACATAGCCAGTATCCCATGATCCGCGTAACAAAAATGTAACTCAATATGCTGATCAATCCGTATAATTTCGAAAGGCTAGAATCAGGCCTTGACCCCTATTTTATACCTATCCTATTTATAGATTTTAAAAGGCACGTTATGAAAAATTCACGGGTACTGTTTACTGATCAAAACATATTCAAATACCATCAGAATATGAAAACTGGTCTTAAAACATTCGAAAATTAAATGAAACTCGTTATAAAGAATTGGCAGATAATCAGAACAGCTAAATCTGTTTTACTCGCAATTTACATAAAAAAGAAAATTTAACGAAGCATAAATTTATCTCTGGTAAGGTGGCGAAGTAGACCCATACCCAGTTAATCCAATCAGTGGTATCTGATCTATGATACGACCACATAATTTGGAACAATTTGAAAAATAAATGGCGATATTTATAGCAATAACGGCCTGGTCTGCCACAATATAGGCGGGGAATAGATAAGATTCAGCTCAGCGATTGAAAGGAATTTAATGGGCGAAGATGTATTGATTTTATCGTGCTAATGTCATATCTACATTTTCTCATGGCCAGATTGTATATTTTTGAAAAAGTATGATATTAAAGTGCAAATGAATTTTGTTCCGTGAAATATAAGTTCGGTATATACGTCTATATAGAAAAACTATGAGAACAACAACAATTTAGCAAATAGATCAATACAGACTTCGCGTTCAAAATTTATTTTCGTGTGCAAATATTTCCATTGTTCGTACATTTATGTGCGTGTTTCACATTCCGGTCATATTGTTGAATAACGGCCTAACACAATATAATTCATGATTTAATCCACAAAAACATCCTGAATAAAGCAACATTAGCGTATGCGTTGCGCTTTCATCACGTTCACTCACTCTATTCATAACCATCAGTTTTATACGCGCCGATTTTGTTGCGATTAAAGCCTACTCGTAACGTTAACAATAGAGAAATACCCTCATAAAATTTCATAGTGTACATCGTCGATTATTTCACAAATATGAGTCAAATAACGAATCCTAATCAAAATCCATCGATGAATTGCACCGTGACTTGAGCTCGCTATTCATTACTATACCCCATTCAAAAGTGCCGACAATGCGAATGTTTCCCAATTTTAATAATATTGGGAAATAGAGAAATGGTTTGGAAGTTCAAAATTTCCCAGATTTTAAGAAATTGTATTTGTGAAAAATATAACAATTTAAATTAATAATCAGTCAGACTAATTCTACATAGAGTGAAAATTTGTCTCATAACCAACAACCCTAACGAAGGGTAAATTGTTTATAGTCCTGCAATACATCTACAAACATTAATATTGTATTACCATCACACTTCTACTTTTCTGCGCGGTGTCCAGAAGTAATATCTCCTCCGTTTGTCCAGGAATATATAAATCTTTCAGTTTTGTCCTTGGGTCAGGATACGAGTCATCCAATTCAGAATGAGCGATGGCTGCGTGCAAACGAAGACCAACCAAACTTTTGAATCTTTTGTCTAACTCTTTACAATTTTGACAGCGATAGGGAGCCTTATCCAAATCAGTCATTCCTCGTAAACTAACTGGTGGGTGTCATATAGAATATAGTTTGAAACAAAAAATGTTGATAAGATAAATTACCAGCCGAAACCCGTCCTTTTGCTGGATTTTTATAAAAATAATCTCCGTTGTAATGTAGTCACACCCATGAAAAGCAGCGACCGAGTAATTATGGAGATGGCGAAGAAATATCTCTACGATCAAAATCAAAGCTACCAATCAAAGGCTTAGAGACGTTGAAGTTTCAATATGAAGTAAAGAAATACCCTGGAGAATGGACAAGGCAAGCTTTTTGGAAGTGTTACGAATTACAAATTGGAAGCATGCCGAATCAGCATGCCCATAAATTATAAATCCTTTTAAACATCTGCAATAACAACTACGAAAAATCTTCTCCTTAGCGTAAATAGAAGCATTAAAAACCAACCTAGCCCTACTTAAGTGTTGCTTGTAGTAGTGCCATGCTTGTTTGAACGCACATCCGAGTCACAATTCCGTTTCTCTTATTCATGTAGGTAAACCTTACAGATTCTAATGTATGTCACAAATTGTAAGTACGGACATCCGCCTGAGCTGTGTTGTCAATATACCCATTGAACATATCTGCTTATGACGCTAAAATAAAATACGCGTCCATCCCCTATTATGCGATGAATAAATCAATAGATTTTTTAGTGAATGACACTCGACTTATACGATGGCGTTAACGCGCATTTGACTAATATTTACCTAACATATGAGGAATATGACGTTGCATTGACGTAGGGCTGGCGAAGAATTTATAATCTAGTTCAATATGCTATTGGCGATTGCGTAGGCCTTAATCGTAAAATAAACCACACTGAGAAGTAGTATCTGTTTTGCATAACTTAACATTTCTATGTCCAAACTATGCTTTCCCATGCTGAATGAAAATTAATGCTGTAGAATAAGGCGGCTAAAACTAATTCCCAATATTTCTTTAAAAAAGAACATACGAAACTGGTTTATATATACTCATATACATTTTTTATTGTTGTTTAACTTATCACAAACGCTACATTTGCGCAATTTTCAAAGGCAGTTTTAATGAAGTTCAAAACAAACGAATAAAGTCAGGAAAATGCAATAAAAAGGTTTCATCATTATGACCATCCGATCGGCTCGTCACCCATTATTAGGCCGAAGGTGTCGCAGAGTCCTGTACTTTTGCACCAACTACAAATATTTCCGCCTGAAACAAAATGGTTACATTTACACAGAATTCATAAAACAGAATGATTTGCATAGCCAGAAATATTTCGCTGTAATAAATTTATTCATCGATGTCTCACGTGGCATATCGGAATCATAACAAAAAATGTTGAAAACGCATTTATTTGCGGATGTACGGTTTTTATAAGCTCGTAACAAGTACGAAAGATGAAGTTGAGCAGAGTGAAATTTGGCAACAGATAATGCCCAACCAATCAATCCACCTAAATTATAGCTCCTTTCTCACGATGTATGCTTGTTGGGACCTTTCACAGACTGAAGCTATAAAAATACCGGATAAAACGTATAAAAGATAAATATCTATATCAAAATTCATTAAAAATTACTTTGTCCCGCTAGTCCTCCGCAACGATTTGAACAATAATTCGCCAAGCAGTATTTTTGCATTTGTTTCAAGAAAGCAGATGAAGGACCTGTTGAAAGTTTGTAATGTATATATAAATATTGATGTTTGAGACATACAAAAAATGAGCTCAATGGGTTCGCTACAATTATATATATATATTATTCCACAATAAAACAAATGTATATCAAAACGATCCATATGTACATTTCGTGTCCAATAAAGTACATTTTATGATTTCAATCCACTTACTTGATCTTTTCACGATGCCAGAATTCGCCATTGATAGACTTAGGACCAAAACAAAGAAGATTCCGCAATAAAAACCTTTCATTTTTGAAATTAGTTGCAATGAAGAAAAGGACAAACTCGTATACTCTTGACGGCTTTGTAAACTAAAGCTTCTGGTTTGTGCGACTGGATTTGAGGACTGTCCCATATATACCCCGAATATGGGAAATTTTCATAGGATGTTACGTCACGCATCTATGAAAACACCATAATGCGTCAGGTATGTATTATATGTCAAGCCCTATTCACGCTCACATCGTCACCTAACGTAATAAAATATGCAAATTTGGAATTCAGGGAGTATATATCAATGTCATTTTATAACTGATTAGCAAATAAGTAATAGATTTTACAATCCCGAAGCTAGCTTTCGCCCAATTATATTTATAACCGGACTCAGAATTTACATATTTATCCCGGATAGCATTTACATCAAGGGTAGCATTTACATTTTACTTTTTCAACTCTGTTGGCTGTGCAAGCGATACTATCGTAGAGGCAAGTTGAGCTTGTAGTAAATCTAATATTCAACATTTTGTTTTGGTTCATTAGTTACGGATTGAACGTCAAAAGGGTGACTTTTAAGTTGCTGAAGTCTAAAAGATGTCAAACATCCGTACACGATTTGAAGACGAACGCCGACTGCCAAGTCCACAAACAAGTGTTTCAAATTTTTGGACGTTATTTTGTTAAAGTCCTTTGGAACGCCACCCACATGTGCGCGTGTTCTCACTGCTAAGTTTTCAATTTCGCCTTTGATCATCATAGTCGTCAAACACATATAGGAGGTGCACGTGGTGATGTAATAAACCAAACCTGTCGCCGCATAAAAAAAAAGTTGATATTACACACGACGAGCACGTTTTAGTAATTTCTTGGTTACCAATTTCAAATATATATTACTGACCGTTGATTTCCGATCCCTGCATTAACCAAACCTTCGAAACATATAATTAGGATTTACCATGAATTGAAAAATATGGTGTATGAAATTTTCTGTGGTGAAAATTTCTACCTTTCCCTCAGTGCTGGCTTATTTTTACACCTAGCATTGCATCTGGTATTCCTGCTAGATTTACAATTAACGTTAACTACCCCAATCTAAAATTTTCATTCTCCTCTATGCTCGTTAAATAATCCGTAGAAAATCGGTGTCTACCAATCTAATTTGGAGAGCATCTGCAAAACCTCCCATCACTCAAACGAACACGACAATAAATTTGATAGCTTTAGTGACCGTGGCAGGTAATTTACTTTTTTATGACATACTTTCCTCATCTTCTGGGTTTTTCTATTTTCACTCATTCTGTCTTTTCTTTACGAGCATGGGTGTGGTGCATCCTGCGGGCAAAATGTGGCCTACAAGGAAAACTTGTGCGGACCACGTAGAGGCGCCACTTTTGAATGGTGTGCGGCCCGCGAAGGGAGTTTAATCTAGTATGTGCGAGTAATTCCAATTCTGCTGTTGTTTATTTTTTAGATTGCTTACCCTGTTTTTTTAAGTTTTCCCTACCTTCATCGTTGACCCTTGGTCCCTTACTGGCGGGCCTTTTTCATTTTCCTCGCTGCTCAGCGGTTAAGCGTCTCCACTAATTTTGTACAGCTTGCTGCTCAATCTTTATTATATTTTGCTTGTTAGTTTCTCGACCTAGGCTAGCTACTTTTATTACTTCTTTCATGCCTTCGCCTCCACGGTTTGCGTATATCATCCCGCTTCATCTTTTACGCTTGCTTGCTCGTTCTTCGTCATCTTGCTCACGCTGCTTCTTCCTTCATTTCTGTTTTTTATTTCCCGGGCTTTTCATTCCTTCACCTTGACGGTTTGCCTATATCCGCTTCATCTTTCACGCCTGCGCTTCATCATCATCTTGTATTGTTGAGTCACTAAACTTTGCCTGCTTACATTTTTGACGGTTTGCATATCTGCTCCACCTTGGGATGTTGCAACTCCGTACAGCTTGCGTTGTTGTTTATTCTTGTTTCGCATCATCTCGCTTGCTTGCTACTTTTTGGACTGCCTACGGCTGCTGCCTCTTTCTTCCACCATTTCTGTTGTTTTTTTTCACAATTTTTTTTTAGTTTGCAGATCGTCGTTATTTTTTTCTTGCCGATTGCTCCTTTTTTCTTCTGCTACTTTCTTTCTTCATCCCTGGTTTCTTATCTCCAGGGGGCTTTTGAATTTCTTTTTTCAGTGACCGGCTCATTATATACGTTTGGATAACTAATTTTGTTACTTCGTTTCCTTGACTGGCTGGCCTACTGCGTGTTTGTTATATCTATGCTTAGATATTTATTTCTCTTAGACCGCTCAAATCTCGCTGATTCCCTGCTTTTTCCATTTCTGATTTCGGCGCGACCGCAATTCTCGACTCCTGCTGGCGTCCCTGTCACTTATCTTCTAATTTCTTTTTCTGACTTTCTTTGACGGTTTGGGCTGGCTGATCTGCCTGTCACTGGGCCGCTGTTTTAGTACTCCATAATTTCCACTCTATCTTTATTTGCAGTGTTTCTGCTGCTTTTCCGACCATCGTCTCACCACCTCCCTCGAGCACCTGTCTTGTTGGTTGTGGCCTTCCCTACCAACTCGGTCTAACCAGTGGGGTTCCGACTCACCACTACCACCATACTTGACCTAATGTCTGACTATGCCTCTACGCTTCCCCTGCGCCACGGCTACTGACGAAGATCGAGTGAATCAGAATCCTACTTAATTAGCAACGTCACGCTTGGCCACCTACGACAATGCTAATTAACACAAAAAATATACATTGAACATACATTTTGTGCGCAGTAGATTCGCGGTAGCTTGAGGTAAGTTGAGTGTGAAGCTGTTTGTTAAGAATTTCCTAATTGGTTGTTTGCTTAAGAAAGACAGATGAGAAAGAAAAAACGATTCAGACATACAAAATAATATGGAAGATGGCGAAAAAGATGCCGAAGTAAATGCTGAAAGCAGAGGGACAGAAATGAGACTGAATCTTGTATCAAAAAACACAATCGTTGTTAAATTTGAAAAAAATAATTGGGTGCATAGAAAAGATGTGGTTAACTTTATTGGTCAAAAAATTGGAAAAACTAATATAGCAAGTGTCTATGAAGAAGGAGAAAAAATCTGGATTGTGACATTACACAAAGAAAATCATGTAACAATTTTATTGAAGGAGGGGATTCCCTACCAATTTCAAAATGAAGATTTTATAACCTATCCAATGTTATATAGGAATGATGTTACTAAAGTTGAGATGAGTAAAACACCTTACCATTTATTGCATGCTGATATCACAGAAATGCTTCAAACATATGGAGAATGTTTAAATATCCAAAACTTCTACGATGAAGACAATATAGCAACTGACATAAGAATAATCCAAATTGTACTAAAAAAACATCTACCACGAAGAATCAATATTCCATGGCACATGGGAGGTGGTCAGTTTCAAATGACATATAAATCAAAACCAATCATAGTGGGAAAACATTGCTACATTTGTACAAGTAATCAACATATAGCAAACGAATGCCCTATACGAATTCCATGCGATTTTTGTGGAATGGAAGGTCGGCCACATTTGACAAAAAACTGTCGCAGAAAGACGCAGCAAATATATGAACAGGAACTAAGAATAGCCAGTGAAGTTGA